CCATATGAGAAGAGGCTAAAGTGACTGGGACTTTTCAGTTTGGAAAAGAGGAGACTGAGGGGGGATATGATAGAGGTCTATAAAATCATGAGTGGTGTGGAGAGGGTGCATAAACATTAGTTCCCATAATATAAGGACTAGAGGACACCAAATGAAATGAATGGGTAGCAGGCTTCAAACTAATAAAAGAAAGTTCTTCTTCACAAAGCAAATAGCCTGTGGAACTCCTTGCCACAGGAGTCTGTGAAGGCTAGAACTATAACAGAGTTTAAAGAGAAGTTAGATAAAGTCGTGGAGGTTGGGTCCATGGAGTGGTCCACTGGACCACCTTGATTTTCATGCAAACCTGCTCCTAGGTTTGCATGTGGCCTTTGGTGGCCAGGCTGGCAGCTATCCTGCCCTAGACGGCCACTTCCTGTGCCTAGTGTGGAGGTCGTAGACGTTGGAGGCCTCCCCCTAAACCTGGATGAGGTCCACGATCTCCGCACTAGACCAGGCGGGCACCCACCTCTTGCGGCCCCAGGCAGGCTCTTGGGAGCCACCAGCCTGGTCCCGGGAAGAGGCGGAGGGCTGGGTGGGAGCGGGTGGCTGGCTTGTGCCGTGCCAGGTGCAGGGTCTGCTGGCTGGGTGCTGTCAGGCTTGCACCTAGCACGGGCACCGTAGCCAAACCGTGCCCCTTTAAGGGCTCCAGAGCCGGGAGGGGGGCAGAAGAGTTTCCCTGGTTGTGCGCAGAGTGGCCACCAGGGCAATCTGGGAAGGCCTAGCCTCCCACTAGTTCGAATTAAGTGGCTACACAGCCCTTAATTCGAGCTATTTAATTCGAACTAGGAGTTAGCCCTCGTAGAATGAGGTTTACCTAGTTCGAATTAAGCGCTCTGCTAATTCGAATTAAGTTTGAACTAGCGGTTTGCATGTGTAGCGCCTATGAAAGTTAATTCGAACTAACGGCTGTTAGTTCGAATTAACTTTGTAGTGTAGACATACCCAGACTGAAATGGAGGAAGTGGGGAAAATTGCTATATTGGACAATTTTGTTAAAATCAATGGGTGTTTTTCAGTTGACTGAAATAAGAATAGAAGTGTGCAAATAATTACCGAGGAATAAAAATACTTGAATTATAATTCCTGAGACTGCACAGAATGGAAAAAAATTTTAGACTCCTATGGACAAACTGCTAGTGATATAACTCAGGGGGTTCACAAGTTGTGCACGGGTCTCCCCTAATCCTGAGTGGCTGTTTTCAGGGTTGCACCCCTAACATATCTTACAGTAGCCAAAAAGCTATTATGTGTCATGAAAACAGCTAATTGCTCAAGCATCAAATTAGTGGCAGGGGACTATAGCCATATCCCCATTGCTAGAGCCACAACCCTCGCTTGCATCATGGTGGAAGATGATGTAAGAACCTTTGCACCAGGCTATACTACCAGATTATACACACAGAAATCCTCCCTGGGACAGTTAAATTGGCTTAAAGGTACAGGGTGTCCCCACTATAAGTGGCCTGCTAAAGTAATTGATACTTGTAGGGGCTGATGCGTTATATATCCTCCCATTCCCTACCTTTTAGCTGTGCAGAAACCCCCCACATTTGCACAAATGGAAGTCAGCTGTGGGAAAAAACTTGCCCGCTTTAAGTTGTTTCACTATAAGTTCAAGTTTTTCGGAACGTATCTTGGACTTATAGCGAGGAGGGCCTATAACATGGTGGAAAGCAGATACAACACATCTCGGGATCTGTTCTCTCGTAAGGCTAATGTTTCACTCTTGTAGCCAAAGTAATAATAGAATAGTCACAAAAACCACTTTTAAAAGATCAGAGTTCTAATGTTCTATGAATGGTCTAAGTAGGTTACTTCTATACTGAACTTTAATCAGACTCACAAAACATACCAACCTCTCCTGACTGGATTTTCTTTAAAGGCCAAATTCTTCTCCAGTGTCAACTGGAGCAATGCCACTGATTTCAGTGAGTTACAGAACTCCAAGTTTATATTGGAATATCTCACCCCAAAATCTCTTTGTGACGGACCCAGCGGGGTACACACTTATCTGGGGAGGGAGACCACTATCCTCCCGGCCCGTGGAGGGCAGGCCGGTGGCATGAACGGCCGGAGTAGCCCCGGCCAGGCTGAGACCCGGCGCAGGGGAACGCGCATGGCCCCGCGGCAAGAGGGGCGGGGCCAGACGCGGCAACGCCTGGTGGGTCAGATGCCCGAGAAGCGTTCCAGCTGCCCGGGGCTGCGCAGAGTGGGAGGCGGACCTCCGGACACCAGCCAGCGCGCAACAGTGTGAGCGGATGCTGGGGGTATGGGCCACCAAATACCCCCCAGAAGGACGAGCATCCCTCCCCGCTGGAGGGGAAGAAGAGCGGCGCCGGAGCCCCCAGGACACCGGATGGATGGGGCCGACAGCTCGGGCGCGTTAAGTGTCCCGGGCAGATACACAGGCAGGGCAGTAGAGAATGGGGCATGGAAGAAGCCTGGGGCGGAGCGCTTCTGGCGCCCTGGGCAGGCGAGTTTCGGGGAGCGTCCCCACCTGTTGTGGAAGGAACGTGCTAGTTGTCCCCCACTTAGGGACCCAGGCTGGGACCCGGTGGAGAGGGTGGGCCCGGGTCCCCCACGCCCCCTTTTCCCCACAGCCTCAGCCTACTCGACTCCCCCAGTAGGCAGCAACCGCTGAGAGCCGGGTGAACTTGAACGCAATCTGAACGCTTGTTATCCCCTCCCCCCGCGGGGAGGACTTTTTCTAGGAACAGGCCCCCGGAATCCTTACCCGATGGGACCCCTGGACCCTTAACGGGGACAGGGCAGAGAGTCCGCTGAACCCCGGTGCCGACCCAGCAAAGGGTGATCGCACTCACGAATTTCCCCCCCAATTAACAGGACCCCAGGACAAAAGTGTATCAGACTTAGACGGTGGGTCCACTGAACCCCCCTGCCCCTCCGGGAGGGGGCGCTTGCACCCAGTAAACCCAGTAAAGTCTGTCACACTCTTCACTTCTTCAAATGTCTCTAACACAAACAGGACATTCCAAACCAGCAATAGAAACAGATAGGCTGTCTACACTGGCATGAATTTCCGGAAATGCTTAAAACGGAATACTATTCCGTTTTCAGTTTTTCCGGAAAAGGAGTGTCTACATTGGCAGGCTGCTTTTCCGGAAAAGCGTCTGTGGCCAATGTAGATGCGCTTTTCCGGAAAAGAGCTCCGAGCGTCATTTTCGCGATCGGGGCTTTTTTCCGGAAAAGACTACTGGGCTGTCTACACTGGCCCTTTTCCGGAACAGCGTTCCGGAATAAGGACTTATGCCCAAGCGGGAGCAGAATAGTTTTTCCGGAATAGGGGCTGATTTTGTACAGTAGAGCATCGTTGCTTTTCCGGAAATTCAAGGGCCGGTGTAGACAGCTCGCAGCTTATTCTGGAAAAGCGGCTGATTTTCCGGAATAAGTGGCCCAGTGTAGACACAGCCTCCGGGATAGAAACAGCCTTCAAACAAGATGGGGGGGAAGTCTTCAAAAAATGGTTGAAGGCAGATTTAAGCTCTGCAAAGATCTGGTGCTAGCTCTAAACAAGGGTGACTGTCACCCATTCACTTCTATGAGAGAGTTACAGTACTCTTCAGTAGACAAACAGCCCCCAGGAGATATTAAGCCTTTGAACCAGGAAACTCCACTGAAAAGACATTTTAGGCTTTAATTACAGTGAGGTCAAAATGCTAAGTTCTAATGTTTTTAAAGAGAAACTAGATTTTCTAATTTTAATTTAAAACAATGTGCAGAGTTTTTCCATACTTAAGTTTCATTTTGGGTCCTGGTTCTTTTTCTCTATCACTGTGTAACTGTCTGACTCTAATGCTATGCTCTTCATGATAAAGTCTGCTTAGTATGTCTGCCTCTTATGCTATTAACTGCACATCTTCTGTTACATAAGTTTTATCTGAGTGAATGGGTTCTCCAGATGAATGTCATTTCATTCACTGGTTTTAATTACTTTTTAACTTTAGTCTCCCGCTGCTTTATATTTTAGCATATCAGAAGCTTCAAGTCTTGGATGAAGAAATTCCATTTAAAACTTTAATTTACATAGATAGATAGAGAAAAATAAATAGGGAAATGCATGACTGAAGAAAAAAACCCAGGATGGCTTGATGGATGGTTCACAGTATTACAGTATTCAGCTAAATGCTGAAGCCTGGGCAAAGCTATGATTCAGAAAATTACTTTACTTGAGAAATAATGTAGCCGAACAAGAGAGATATACATCTCTTGACAAAGAATGAGCATGTAAGAACTAATCCAAGCAGCAGAAATTCTTATAGGCGATCTATCAAATTTGAACAATTAGAGGAACTTTCTTTTAGGCCAGCGTTTCTCGTAACCTGATTTAATCAAAAGTACTCTGAATTTGCATAATTTCTCCAAACGGTTGGAGATGGAGAATGCTTTGTCATTTTCTATCTTTTTCTTGCATTAAGAAAATGTTTTTGCTGAGTGCCACTTGACATTATTATGCTAAATAATACATTTTCCCTCTAACTACACATGGAACTCTTTGAAATCTTATTCTCAGCAGTCAAGTTCAACACTTTTTCATAAACCTTTGGAATTGCACCTACCTTCTTAAAATGCCATAGGACAGAACCCTTAGCCAAAAGCTATAACACTATTCATGGCATACATGCTGGGGGGGCGGGGGGGGGGGGGGGGGGTAGGTGAAGGTTGGTGGTAGGGCAGACAATGCCTTCATAAGGTTCTGTTTTCGGATAGCTGATATATAGATCTACTGGCTATTTCCCTACCATCCCTTTGATCTGCCAACAGCTCACTTTTAGTTCTATAGCAGTACAACATGTAGCAGTGGAAAGGGCCCATGGAATGCTCCTTCCCAGCCATTCCCAGGGTTTCACACAATTCCATATGTAGGAGTTTTGCAGCTGCATCACTAGATTTCATTCAGAAACCAGAGTTGAAATCAAATCAATTCCAAAAGCACTTACTGGTATGTGGTTGGACTGACATTGATGCGACGTGGATGGCTTCCTGACTCAAACTTGCTTGCAAGAGTAACATTATTTCCGAAGAGACAGTAACGTGGCATTCTCACACCAACAACCCCAGCCAGAACCGATCCTGAATGAATTCCTATCCTCATCTGGGGGAAAAAACAACAAAAGAACAACTCAAGAACCAGTGTTAGTAACTTCTGTAGCTCTGTCCATTGCTAATGTAGTCAGGGCGCTCTTACGGTATTTCCCCAGGCCACTCCCAAGAGTCAGTTTAAACAGATAATAAGCTGCAGATGAAAATAAAGATAGCATTAAAAAGTAAATGGGATGAATGCACCTTTGAAAAATAACCAGGCTTGGAAAGATATGCTTTTTAAATATGTAAATGTCAATTTCACTGCCCCCCCCCCCCCCCCCCAGCCAATGAAAAAAATATTTCCATTGATGATAACATAAATTTACAGATAGGTAAAGCAGGGAAAATGCTGCTTGAGAACCTATCAGATTTTGATTTGAGGATACTTACTTTCTGTATTTTGACATATGATGTTGACAGTTTGTATTTTTAACAATAGTGGAGCATTACATTTTTGATCACAAGATCAACAGTAATTAATTATTGCTTTGTTACCCCCCCAATCTAATTTGCCAATAGTTTCCCATTACTATGAAAATTTAAAATAGATACAAATTGAAAAAATGCTTAAAAATAAACTATCTATATATATACAAATTCTGCCATGCCTAAATATAACTTTCATATGCAGGGGATTACTGATATGAAAAAAATAAAAACTTGCAGTATACCTCTTGTTTTAAAAAGTAATTACAAACTTTCTTATTATGATATAGTAACAAGTATGTAAAAGCCAGGATACAGGAAAATATAAGAAATATAAGAATATGTCTTATATTTAGATAGTTATGTTACCAAGCATAAAGCCAACCAAAGACATTCCAGGACATTTCTGCTTCCTGTCCCCAAGGACAATCAAGTAACCCAATTTCCTGCAAGGTTTTTTGCATACCTCTAATTGTTGTACACATTCAGAAAAGCTGTATTTTAAAGTAATCCTCTCTTTAACTTTGTACTATTTTCTGTTGTACCATGTTTTAAAGATGAATTTATTATTGAATTTGTGGTTTGTATAACAGATTCAATAGAAGTTGACTTCATGATAACAAAAAGAACCTCTTTAAACAGTGGTAAAAAGGAAAGACAATGTCTCCTTTGATGGCCACTGAAGCTTAAAGACTCAATGAATTTAATTTTAAAGATACTATTTGAGAGCTGACTTTTATACAGAGAATAGGAATGTTTGGGCTCATTTGAAACACAATTTCTACTCCCATTAAATCCTTATGGAACTAAAGGGATATCTCAGAAAATTGACTGAATAAAAAAAGAATTAAAAACTACCATTAAAATGTATCCAATGCTTTCCCACCACAAGAACAACAAAAGCAGTGAAAGAAATGTTGTATATTCATTAGGCACACCGCACACGTAGAAGCTGAAGTTGTCATCTAAGTCAGTGGCAAGAAGCCAGTGAAAGGGTGACAGCAACCAACTCTGAATCTAAACCAAGCCTGAAACAGATGGTGTTTTCCTAATTTCATGGAAATAGGAAGAAGAAAAGTATAAAACCCTGAAGTGAGAATCCCCCACGACATCCCCTCTGCTACCTTGCCTAGAACCAAGAACTCCATAACTCATCCTGTCCATCTCTACAAGAAGCAGAATATGAAAAACAGAGAAGACGCAGGGGAAAATCTTAGATTGGTTAGATTGTTTAACTAAAATACTGTTCAAAGATTAGATTTAAATTCTTGGCATGATTTTATTGAGATATGAAATTATCTTTTAAATTTAAAATGCAAACAGTTCATCTGTTAGTTACCTAGTGGTTAGACCACATGTCTGTGTAGAGACAACAGGGGCTAAACATTGTAAACAGAGAAACTGTTTGATTTAATTGAATTTAAGATACACAGTATTCACAAACGGCCTCTCTCAAAACAGCTCCTTTAATAGCTTCTCCTAAATTACTAATTTAAATATTTTCCTTCACTTCCATATGATTAGTTGAGATTGTTTACTTTTCCCAATTATGAACTATGCGGTTACTATTAATAAGCAATAGGATTCACTTTTTCTTAAACAAAATTATTTTGTTCATCTAAAACATTTCTCAGTTATCTAAGGATATACTAAATCTTGCTTCATTAGCATTTGGAAAATAAGATCTTGGCTCAGCTTACCAAGCAAACTGGTGCACTGAGGCAGGTTCACTCTCAGAGGTGTAATCTGTACTAGAAGTCCTCCATCGCAACACATGTAGAAAGGATTGTAATAGAAGTAACCAGTTTATTGTTTTTGTTCTGTCACCTATGTTTTGTTTAATCCTTTCCTTTCCTTCATAATCAGATAACCATTGTTGTTAATTGTGATTATTTTGCTTGGTCTTAATCATGGTGTGCCCCAACATAAGTAAAAGAACCCTTGTGACTAAAATAATGAGAATCATACAGCCGAATTGGTAATAAGAGATAGAACTAGTCAGAGCTGCCTCTTCTAGTTTCTCTAGACTAAATATTTTAGTCATTTAAAAAAATCAAATTACTTGGCATTCAGCAACTAAAATGACCCTTTTCTTACCATAATAGAATGAAGTGATGAGGAACAATGGTGACAGAGCCCTTATATGTACCTTGTTAGATAAATCATGGAAGGATAATTTTTGCCACCAGGGTTAGTCCATAGCTTAAAATAACTTATTTATGTTAGTGGGAAGAGGAGTGAGGTGTAATGAATGTGGTATTTGTCAGTTCAGTTTTCCTCCACCACCTCAAGGCAGCTTTTATCATTTATGATAGCTCTCAGTTTGACAAAATGGGAAGATGCTGAAGATTGAGCCAGTGGTGCTTTTAAAATCATCTTCCCACAAGGATGTTCAGGAGGCACAACTCCCTGACAAACTAAAGAGACCATTTCTGTTCTAACAGCAATTTACCTGTACTTGTCTGGGATGTAGAGATTGCATTAAGATGGAATGTACAGAGGCACCATCCAAGCCCCTTTCAAAGTGAATAATCAAGCAGAAGAGATTTTGAACATATTTTGACAACTAACTGGGCTGGCTAAGAAAGCCAGCTTCTCAAACTGGGAAATCACCCTGTCTCTCTAACTTACTCTATACAAAAAAATTGAAAGCAGATAGTTGTACTTACATTTGGAGAGGTTCCTCTTGCTCACCAAATTCTAAATAGCCCCAGTACACAAAATAATAGAGAAGTAATAAATAACAGCTGTTAAAATAGCCACCACAGTGGATCTGAGCTGGAGTCAAACTGGTGACCTTGCAGTTTAAGTCTTCATAGCCTATTATTAAATCCTTTGACTCATCTAGTTCCCAG